GTACCATCTCGTACCATTATATGAATCAAAAATAGGCCAGGTATTAGGAAATTTTAAAATTAATAGTAAGTATTGCTTTTGGGAATGGTATCACACATTCCCATTAACTCGGCTCATAGGGCACAGAGCCACCTTCTCTGTCGCTCATATGAGTAATTCCTGTCTGGCGCGTCCATGTCGCGGAGGTGGGCATCTCTTGCTTCAGTAGACCGGAGCTAGTAGATGGCTAAGTTCAGATAGGGACCCAGTTCCGTGGGGTATAACACGGCCCCCTTGCCCAGGGATACGGGTGAAGACCACAACGATGATGAAGGTGCAGAATATAGTATTCGGTTCAGTGAATTCAACGGAAGTGGCAACCCTGTTTCTAGGGATAGTATAGAATCAACCTGGTGAAGGGCAGCAGCGATCACCAGTACTAGAATTAGGCGTAAAGGAAATGATCCTAAACCGGCTTCTTACTAGAATACCGTAGGTGAGACTGAAACAGTTAGAGGGCTACGGTACTGCGATGCGGAAAGCAAGTAGGAAACTACCGCATTATATTCCTCAGGACATCCGTCCGTAGATTTTTTCTTGTCATGTTGGAAGAAACAAAACAAACGGCCCCTAGTCCCGGGCAGGCCTTAAATGGTCAAGGGGTGCGAAGAATCTCCCGGTTTCAACTTGATAAGACAATCAAAATTGCTACGTGGAATGTCAGAAGCCTATTTGCAGCAGGCAAACTACAAAATCTAATTTAGGAAATGAACAGAATTAACATCGATATTCTCGGCATTGCGATGGGAAGGCACAGGCATGATCAATACTACTGGTAAAACCCTTTACTACTCATGCAGTGATAGCACAGACCCTCACCACAGACATGGGGTGGGAGTTCTGATAAGCGAAAATTTGCGCGCCTCCGTGAAGAACTTTGTCCCGATCTCCGAAAGAGTCATACTTATTCAGTCGCATGGAAAAGTTAACACAAATATTATACAAGTCTACGCCCCTACAGCAGACAAGCCAGAAGAAGAACTAGAGCGATTTTATCAACAGCTAGACGAAGCCTTAAAGGTGACTAAGAATCACGATATTAACATCGTATTAGGAGACTTCAACGCAAAAGTTGGGGAAGGAGCTGTAGATCACGTAGTTGGAAAATATGGTCTTGGTCAGAGAAACGACAGAGGGGACAGATTGATACAGTACTGTCAAGACAAAGATCTAGTCATAACGAATACTTGGTATAAGTTACCACCCAGGAGACTTTACACATGGAAGTCGCCTTTAGACGGACATTAGGTCATTATAAGGAACCAAATAGATTATGTGACAATTAATAGAAGGTACAGGAATGCTATTACTAAGGTATCTGCATTACCTGGAGCAGACATAGGATCCGACCACAATCCCTTAGTAGCAAATATCAAACTGAGGCTCGCTACAGCTAAAAGAAAACACCAGAAGGCATCAGTAAACATTAGAAAACTCAAAAACAATGAAACAAATGAAGCGTACACAGAGGAAATAAACAATAGGTTCTCTAATATGGCAACTGAGAATGATGTTGAAAAGTCATGGACCACCATAAAAGAATCATTTGATGAGTTGAACAACACTTTTCTACTCGAGGGTAAAACAACTACCAAGAATGAGTGGATGACAGAAGAAATATTAGAGATGATAGAACAACGCAGGCAGTGTAAGATCAGGCAGGACGAAGTAGGGTACCGAAATATACACAGTCAAATTCGTAAAGAAATTATAGCGGCGAAGGAGATCTGGATGACTACACTTTGCGCCGAGGCTGAAAGCCTATATTAACTTGGCGACAGCTTCAATCTTCACAAGAAAATTAAGGAAATTGCTGGTGTCTTCAACAAAAAACAAGTCACTGGTATACATAATGACCAAAATGAATTAATAACGGACCCTAGCGATATACTTAATACTTGGAAAATGTACACAGCCAATTTGTTCAATGATGACAGAACACAAAAACCACCACAACTGGGAGACCATTTGTATGGCCCAAGTATTTTAAAAACTGAAATTGTACACGCTATCAAACTATTAAAAAGTAACAAAACCCCAGGACCAGATGATATGTACGCAGAAACAATCAAGTTACTTAATAAAGAAAACCTAGACATTATTGCCAAGATCTTTAACGACATCTACGATACGGGCCAGATTCCAAAAGATTGGCTTCGATCTACATTTATTGCCCTACCAAAAACACCACGTGCGAACTTCTGCAAGGACCACCGACTAATAAGCCTAATGAGTCACTTTTTAAAACTTTTCCTGAGAATACTTCACACTAGATTGTTTAAGAAATGTGAAGAGGTCAGTGGATGGAGTCAGTTTGGTTTCAAAAATGGACTTGGCACGAGAGAAGCGATCTTTAGTATGCAAACATTGATACAGAATTGTTTAGATCAAAGAAAGGATGTTTTTATCTGTTTCATCGATTACGAGAAAGCATTCGATAATGTAAAACATGAATTGATGATAAAATACCTACAAGAGTTGGGATTGGATGCAAAGGATAAAAGAATCATCGCCAATCTGTATTGGAATCAGACAGCAACAGTACGTCTTCAAAATTTCAACGAAACAGAAGATTTCTCCATTAAAAAAGGAGTAAGGCAAGGTTGTATACTGTCCCCAATGCTATTCAATTTATACGTAGAAAAACCCTTCGCAGAAGCAGTGGAAGACTCTAATAAGGGTATTAAAGTTAACGGCATATTTATTAATAACATAGGTATGCCGATGATACAGCCATAGTGGCAGATAACATCGAAGATCTTCAATGCCTTTTAAATGATCTAACTCTTGCAAGTGAAGCTCGGGGTTTGAAAATAAATATCAAGAAGACAAAATCAATGATTATAAGTAGAAATGATTACCCCAACGCAAAGATATATGTCTCTGGAGAAGAAATCGAACAAGTCAGGCAATTCAAATACTTGGGATGTTTGCTGAATGAGGGTTGGGACCCCGAGAATGAAATAAAGAGCAGAGTTGAACAAGCCAGAAATGCTTTTTTGAGGCTTCGTAAGTTTCTGACTGATCGCAAATTGGACTTCAACCTCCGATACAAGATGCTTAAGTGTTACGTGTGGCCTCTTCTCCTGTACGGAATGGAAGCATGGACGTTAAAGGCCAGTTCCATTAACAAACTTGAAGTGTTTGAAATGTGGTGCCTGCGTCGAATGCTCAGAATATCATGGACGGACAGGGTCAGAAATGAGGAAGTACTCAGAAGAGCGGGCTTACAGGATAGGGATCTTTTTAATTATGTAAAAAGTAAGAAGACTGCATACTTGGGGCACATTCTACGAGGAGAACGATACACTTTTCAGCATAAATAAAATTGCACCAAACTAGAGGATTTATCTTTAATGGTAAAATATGAAAGTATAATATTTAAAACTGTGAATTTTCTGTGTTGTTAGTTCGGCAATTGATTTAAGAAATTTTTAAATTTCTTTTATCGCAGATAGTGTACCGAGAAGATAACTTAATATGTTTTGCGATTACTCGAATGTTGGTGCCATAAATGCCGACAAAAAATTGCATTTATCAAATGACGAAACCAGTTGTTCATTATATAAAATATTGGAACATTTGCTTGATAATCAAAATTCTGGTCAGCAAAATGTTCTAAGAATATGATAGGAATATTAGAGATATGATTTGGAAGAAATTAAGTTAAATCCTGACTTCGAGATTGATTAAGATTAAATCAAGTAGGAATTTAATAAGTAACAGTTACTTACTTTTACTAATGAACTCGAATTCAAAGTTTTTTTGGTCTATTTACCATTTCGGAGGGATAGACGGTTGTTGCAAAATGACCATTTATATTTTTACAAGTTTGCAAAAACCGTCTAAGCCGCTTTAAGTTATTTTTGCAATAAACTGATTTTACTTATTTTGCTTTTGTACGTTTTTTTAGATAGCCTGTAATTATTGAAATATAAAAATGTGAAAATAAAGCCTTATTTTCTATCAGTAAATTTCTTAAAGTACGTAGACACAATATGCTCATTTACTCTGAACCATGTATATGTGGCTTAGACTATTATTGCAGAACACCATCCGTTTCATGTTTAAAGACTGATTCTGTTGTTAAATATTTGGTAATAAATATTTTAATACACTGTATTTATCTGATTATTATATTATAAATCTTAAATAAAAATCACATTGAAATGTCACTATGTTCATTTAAGTGTTATACCTGCCTTAAGTCCTCAATCAAATTTAAACCTTAAAACGAAAAACTGCTAAGTTATTATTTTTTGATTTTTTTACACTGTGCTTTAGGTACTTAAGCATTAAAACTTACAAAATGTCTAGAATCATCATAGGAACCAACAGGATCCTTAGAATCTTGGTATGTAAAAAAGAAAATGTATAATTCAGTTTTTTCCTTCCTCCTGTAAACTATGCAAAAATGGACAGCAGGATAACAAATTAGGCCGACAATTTTCTGCTAACACTTATTTTCGCTCTGCAAAACTATTTCGTTCAAACAGTTTTGTAGAGCACAAAAAACCTTTAGTTTAAAAAACAAAAACTCTATTTTGGTAAAAAAAAATAAGCGAGTTGATGAACAATGATTGTAGAGATTATGCACTCAAATTTAATTAACAATGTTTGCTGTCTTATTCATTTTGTGTCTGGATGTATAGTGAAACATATATGCCACATATAAATTATTTCCCAATTTTATTTATTAATTAAGTAATTACTATCGTTAGCATCGTATGGATTTACAACTGGCCTAAAAGACAAGAGACTTGATTAGGGGTATAGAAAAGAGAGGAAGGAGGAGAACCTGGTTATATCTTCATTCCATTCGACCGGTGAACAAACACACGCAGGTTTAAGGTACGAGTCCATTTTCAGCAGTTTATCACTTACTTGTTTTCACTTGACGCCCGATTAATATTGTGGCATGCCCAGGCCTCGAATCGACCAATGTTGATATCTAAGAAAGATCAATCTTTAATTTCGAAAGCTCTAGCGGTTTTCTTTTTCGGCTTTATGCCGTTAGTACAGGGTATAGGGGTAAGTCGAGTATTACTTAACTCTTTTAATATCGATTGTATAACCATATGCGATAGGAGCCCAAGTAAAGCAAACTCTAAAGATAATCAAAAAGTGAGTACAATAAAAAAATATTCATACAAAACAAACTCGACAGAAATAAAAATTCAGCTCTCGATAAAAAATGTCTGTACTAAACTGATATAGAAAAAGCTGTAAAAAATGTATTAAAAATCGACTTTCAAATAAATATTTACTGCTGGATGTTGGATTTCTCAAGAGATCTTAAAAGAACTAGTTTCATTTTCTATTTTTCGGTTGATCTTTAAATACAGTCTTTTTAATAAGTCAGTGGGTTTCTAATGACACTACTAATGATTGATTTTCATTTCATTTTCAAGTGCTGTAGGCTATTTAGGTATTAATTGTTATGTTCTTTTTTTCATTTTTTATTGTGCTGCTTTGATACTTTGGATATTCGTTATGTTTTACCTTTGTTATGGTTTACCTGTTTTTGGTTTTGGTTTGTTTTTTAATCCATTTTCATTACGATTGCATTTCTCCGTAAGTTTTTTAACTTGGCTAATACCAATATTTATTCGACATCAATTGTTGCCAGCCTTATATTTCTCCATCATAATCTTATTCTTAATTTTATATTGTTTTGTCAGTTTAATCATCCATCTAGATATTCACTCTCGTAGGTCATAGGTGGTCTTATAGAATTTTTGTCTTAATTACATTGGAATCTTTCCATTGTACAACATACTACTCTTTTTTTTCAATTCATCCATCCCCTGCCCCTCGCGATATTGCATGCCCTTCATCGATTTTTCCATGATTGGAAAATACCCATCCTAGGGACTTCCTCTTCTTCATGTGCCTTGTCCGTTACGAACGTTGGCAATCAACATGGCTATTCTGATTTCGTTTACAGCAGATCTGAATAGTTCAGCAGATGACAATCCGAACCATTGCCGCAAGCTTAGGAGTCACGAGTGTCTTCTCCTCCCTGGACCTCTTCTGCTGTCTATTTTCTCTTGAACGATCAACTGTAGTACTCTATATTTATTATGTCTCATAACGTGACCCAACTCTTCTAACTTTCTTTTCTTTATACTTATTCCTACCTCTCTCTCTTTACCTATCCGGCATAGTACCTCTTCGTTGGTCACGTGTTCAGTCCAGGATATACGTAATATACGTCGGTAAGCCCACATTTCGAAGGCCTCTACTTTTTTCATCAACGCTGCGGTCATTGTCCACGCCTACATTCCATATAACAAAACCGGGAATACATAACATTTCAGAAGTCGAATTTTGAGAGGTAGGGTGAGGCTTTTAGAGGTGAAAATTTACTTCATGCTAGTGAACGATGCTCTTACCTTTTCTACTCTTATACGTATTTCCTTCGCTTGATCCCAATTTGAGTTAACTGTTGTTTCCAAGTAGATGTACGAACCCACGTGTTCAATTCTTTCATTGTCTAATATCAGTTGCTGTGGTGGTTGTTGGGTTTTGCTTACTAACATCCATTTGGTTTTTGTGATATTTAGTCTGAGTTCGTATTGTGCACTTGTTTTTTGTATTTTATTCATTAGGCAACTCAGTTTCTCCATGCTACTTGCTAGAATCACAGTGTCATCAGCATACCTTATGTTATTAATTATTTCTCCATTTATCTGTATGCCTTCTGTGCTTTCCTCCAGCGCTGTCTTAAATACTTCTTCTGAGTATATATTAAAGAGAATTGTAGACAAGATACAGCCCTGTCGTACCCCTTTCTTGATCTCAATTTTATTGGTCAATGTAGATCCTACGTTCACTTTAGCTGTTTGACCCCAATAGAGACTCGCTATTGTTCGAATGTCTCTGTAGTCGACTCCGATATTATGGAGAACTTCAATTATCTTTTCGTGCTTTACATTATCGAATGCTTTTGCGTAGTCTATAAAGCATATGTACACGTCTTTGTTTATATCTCTGCAGCGCTAGAGGGGTAGCTGTAGACTAAAAAGTGCTTCTCCCAAGAGAATTCCGAAACCCAAACTGCGAATCTCCAGTGTTATTCTCGCATTTTTTGCTTATTCTGTTCTAAATAACCTTGGTGTATGCCTTCGAAATGTGGTTAATTAGACTTATCATCCGATGTTTATCACAAGACTTTGCTTTTGGTTTTTTCGGTATAGCCAGTGTTCAGGAAACTCCCCGCTGTTATAAATATTGTTAAAGAGTCTAACGAGTGAGTCTAGAAATAGGCTGTTTGTTTCGCACATCATTTTCAATACTTCCACGTATACGTTTTCGTTGCCTGGTCTTTTGTTATTTTTAAGACCCTTTATAGCATTCTCCACTTTCGATTTTAGAATAGAAGGAACAATATCATCATTGCTCAGTGTGCACCCACTAGGACGGTCATCATTAAACAGTTGTTCCACATAAGTTTCCCAGATTCTAACTATTTTGTCGGGGTCTAGTTGTAGATTTCTATTATCATCGCACAGCCCTTTCGATAAAATATTGTAGTTTTTCTTTGTTGTGAGTTCCTTTATTTTCGTATGCATATTGTGATAGTCGTATACCTTTTCGCACTGTTCGATTTCTTCGCATCTCTCCGAGAACCATTTCTCTTTAGTTTTTCTTATCTCAGCTCTTATTCGTCTATGGGTTTCACGGTATTTGGCAGTATCTTTAGTTTTATATATCCGTCTTTCTTCCATCATGTCAAGGATTTCTGCAGTCATCCAGTCTTTCTTTTTTCTCTTATCAGGTAGTAAAAACTTAGTGCTTGAAGTCCTAATCTCTTCTTTAATTTCACTCCACTTTTCCAGCGGTTCATTGCTATTTTTAAGGATTTTTGATATTTCGGTATTTAAATTCTCCTGCATCTGTTGTTTAATATTATTGTTGGAAAGCTTCCTAATATCTAGCGTTTCGGGTCTGTTCTTTACATTTGGTTTTTTTAACTTTACTTCAAACTTACTAAAATACTACTAATATAAGGCATACTTTTTCAGCACATGCGAAAAAAGCCGAAACAGAAAAATTTAGAAGTTTTATGTAAAGAAATTCAGATCTTTTTCTACGTCAATCAGAGGGGTTGTCATTAGCAGGAGTTCAAGAAATGAATAGGTCAAAAGTAGGGAAATTCTTTAAGTTTGTCAGCGAACATTTTTACTATGGATAATAGTGAAATTGAGATGATAAATAAACCATCCAAAGTGATAGCAACCAAATTAGCAAAGGATGTAGAAACATTGACATCTGGTAAAAGAGGAGAAAACGTAAAGGTAATTGGCTGTTGCAATGCTTAAGGAATGTTTCTTCTGCCGATAATAGTCTTGGATGAAGTTAACCGAAAACCAGAATTTTCTAATGGCCTACCTGCTGGTTCTGTGGTTTGCATTAATAAGAAGTCTTCTTTTATAACATCAAAGATTTGTTAATTAAGTAAAAACATATTTTATTCCTAGAAAAGCAGCCGGAAAATCCTTACTAATTATTCATGGGAACTCATCACAATAGATGTTGAAATGCTACTAATTACAAAAAAAAATGATTTCATATTAATGTGCTTACTAAGTCACTGTACCCAAGCAATGCAGTCTTTGGACAAATGTTTTTTCGGTCCTTTGAAACTTACTGGAAACCGAGAAACACACATGAATGCTCAGTCATCCCAACAGAAACCTACGCTGTATCAAGTGGAAAAATTTTGGGAAAAGCTTGGACCTGTGTTTCTACAACTGCAAATGCAATACATGGATTTAAAAACACAGGTATATTTCCATTTGTCCAAAATTCTATACCTGATCCTTTCCTCGCAATTTCAAATGTATTAATATTAGATAGTCAAGACAATAAAGAAAATATTCCTTTAACAGAAAAAATTAGCAGTTAGAAATTACAAAATCAAATGATTTTTTGGAACAGAAACCCATTGAAATTTTCCCAAGCAGAGGCAACACCCCTGAATCTTAAGCCCAGTACTTTAAAAGATTGTTTAGATAACGGCGATACAACACCGAGTAAATTTTTACAAGCCTATTCCAAAAATTTCTAATCTATTACATAAAAAAACAGTCAGCTAATGTACGTAATTCCCCGAAGAGCATATTGGCGAAAAGAGAAAAAAAAACACTGTAAAAAAATACGAAGAGTAAATATTTAAATAATCAAAGTAAAGAACAAAAAATAACAGAAAAAACCAAAACTGCAGATCGTGACGAAACTGCTAAGAAACTCTGCAGTAAAGGAAATAAAAAAATATATGATAATGCGGATGAAAAATCTAAAAAATCTGATGAATGTCTAGATCCGCTACTGGCTATACAACTGTCACAGTTGCCCTTCTTTGGTACCAATTTCGCATAATTTATTTTAAACACTCATAATGATAGCCAAATCATTACTAAAATCACTTTGTGCCCTGTCAAAATCTGGCACTTTTAATTTTACTGTATTACCGACATTACCAGGTAGAAATTTCAAGTTTGATATTTTAAGCAATTTCGCTTGCCTCAGAATCTTGCCTCTCTTAAATTTGATTAGAAAATAGTTCTTCTAGAATCACATTAGATTCACTAATGGTTACTCAGGTTATTCTGTTTCTTGTTATATTAAAAGCCCATTTGGTTCATCAACTTCTGTTTTTTTAAACTCTTCAGAATCAGGATCCGACTGTCTTCTACTTATTTCACCAGCGCTTCTAAATCTTCTCCAGTCGAAATGTTATCTAGATTATCTTCTGGCAGTGACGAAGTTTTTAGACGAGTTTTGTCGGGAACCCCAAACCTGATGTAAGACTGAACTTGATGTCAGAATTATGTAAATCGAAGACCCTGACAAGTTGTTTGTTTCGTTGCTTTCCAACCAGGAACTCAGCATATTTTTGACGCCTTAATTCGCACGTTCAACAGATCTTTGTGACTGACTGTGTATTGGCTTACCGTGTACTGTCTTCAAATCTTTCCACATAGAGCACAGTTCTTCTTCTATTGGAGAATTCTCCTCTATTTTACTTTTTTAGGTCCCTGCCAGATAAAACTCTTAAAAGCCCAGTAAAAGGTTATGTCGATTGCTGCATAGCTGATCAAC